ACCAAAAAAAAAAAGGACAGACATGGTGGCTCTCACTTGCAATCCCAGTGTTGAGGTGGTGGAGATGGGTGAGTCCCTAGGGTTTGCTAGCCAGCCAGCCTACTCTTCTAGTTTCAGGCCATTGAGAGACCCCCATCTCAGAATTTAAAAAGAGCCAGGTGTGGTGGTACACGCCTTTAATTCCAGCAATCAGGTCACAGAGGCAGGCAGATTTCTGTGAGATTGAGGCCAGCCTGGTCTACATAGTGAGTTCCAGGCCAACTGGGGCTACAAAACACCCTCCAAAATAAATAAATAAGGACAGTACATGCCTGAAAAATGACACCCAAGGTGTCTTCTGGCCTCCATGTGCACGAGAATACACATGTATATACACAAAAACATACGTGAACATATGTACACACACATACAGTGTTGGTTTTTTTTTTAGTCATTTTGAGGGTCCCCCTGTAGGCCCAGCTGGCCTGGAACTCACTGTGTAGACCAGGCTGGCCTTGAATGCACAGAGATCCACCTGACTCTGCCTCCCAAGTGCTGGGATTAAAGGTGTGCGCCACCACCCTTGGCTAGTTGTAGAACTTTTGTCTAGCATGTGTAATGTCCTAGGTTCAATTTCCAATACTGAATTTTTTCTTCTTTTCACAAATGGATGCCACTAACAGTTGACTTAAATGTGCATGGAAATAAATATCTATTGTCTGTGAATTAGGAAAGTTTTTAAAGCACCCTAGTCAACCTGGAAGATGACTGGATTTGCAGTTTTAGTGCTGGACTTCTCTACCAGGTCTGCCAGCAGACAGAAATGTTAAGTGCCATGTCACATCCCAAAATGAGATTAGCTTTGTCTTTGTTTGTTTGTTTGTTTGCTTGGTTGATTGATTGATTGATTGATTGATTGATTGATTGATTTTCAGTCTTTTTGAGACAGAGTTTTCCTATAGCCCCAGCTGGCCTGGAATTCACTATGGAGACTAAGCTAGCCTCCATCTCACACAGATCCACCTGCCTCTGCCTCCTGAGAGCCAGGATTAAAGGTGTGCACCACCACACCCAGCTGGTTCCCCCACTACTAACTTGCCACTATTCAGGTTTTTTTTTTTTTTTTTTTTTTTCAGTCTTTTTGAGACAGAGTTTTCCTATAGCCCCAGCTGGCCTGGAATTCACTATGGAGACTAAGCTAGCCTCCATCTCACACAGATCCACCTGCCTCTGCCTCCTGAGAGCCAGGATTAAAGGTGTGCACCACCACACCCAGCTGGTTCCCCCACTACTAACTTGCCACTATTCTACCAATGAGCACATTTTGCCTGGCCACTTAGTAGTACAGCACTCAGGGGTCCATAGCAGAGTAAGACTGTTGATAATAATTCTCTCCCAGAAGCCTCTGAGAGCTGGCCAGCAGGAAGGAGGCTTCCATCCCAGTTCCAACTGGACTTCTCCATATCCTGCAACCAAAGTGTATGGTGTCTTCAGCAATGCGGTCTTGCCACCTAGTTCAGGTGGGCAACCAACAGTCAAGGCAAATGACTGTATTGTTCTGGTGGCCTCAGAGGCCTCCTGGACCAAACACTTGTAAGGCAATAGTCCACCCCTATAAATCTGAATGCTCCTATAAACCTGAATTAATCTGAAAATGGTGTTCATAAAATATGACTTTGAGGACAGAATTTATTCCTAGAAGTTCCTGGAAATTCTCAAACCTTAGCATGCCAAAAAAAAATACCACTTTAAAAAATTTTTTATTTATAAATACCACTTTTAAAATAAGCATTCTGCTGTTTAATTCATGAAAGCATCATTCATTTGGGTCTAATTCCAGTTCTGAAACTTTGAAGCTTAAATACTCTAAGTTCAACCATGAGCAACCAATAATCAGAGTTCTAGGATAAAATTCAACTTACTTTAACAATCTGAATTCATTACTGTCAAAACTAAAATTCAAAGCCTAGTCTATTCCCACACATGTGCACACAAACACATACACACATAGCACATGAATAAATGAGGAATTAAACGTTTGACAGCACGAGTACATGGGGGGACTTATTTCTTAGGCAAGAGATGAGCCTAGAAAATATTAACTTTTAACATTTCAAAAATATTATTTTGGCTGGGCATGGTGATTCATACCTTTAATCCCATCACTCAGAGGAGACAGAGACAAGTGGATCTCTGTGGGTTTGAAACCAGCCTGATCTACATATCGAATTCCAGAACAGTCAGGGCTATATAGTAAGACCCTGTCTCAGAAGAAAAATACACATTATTTTGCTCAAGGAAACCTTATTAAAAGTAGAGGCAATGTAATTTCTAATGTTCTTTAAGATACCTAACTATCGACACAAATCCCAAATGTAAGTTACAGTGGCATCTAGCTCACCTCTGAATTAAAACAGTGTAATCTAAAACTAGCAGAGAACAGTCCTTTTAAAAACCAGAAGCCAGGTTTTGTAGCATTTGGGAAGCCATTGACAAACTAATGGCTTCAAATAGTTTTAAGACTGTTTAAAGGCAGAATAAAATAAAAGGACATCTCTATAACCTGACAACATAAGTGAATTACACTTAAGATAACATGTTTCTGAATTAAATCTCAACCTTCTGTTTCAAAATCATGCTATTCTTATCCACAGTCACATTAATTCTACTTCTCTTAGAGTTAGCCCCCTCCCAGTTTCTCTGATCTATCCTTCTTATAATAAAAGAAAAAGTAAATACAGAAAAAATACTCTATTCTTCCAGATCTATACTATAACAGTAACTCATGAGTTTTTATAGCTAAAAAGTCCTGAATCAAAAGATTAATGTTTAAAATGTAGTAGTGTATTTATTAGTAATATGAAGTGCAATAATAAATATTTTACTTTAACCACAAAGGCAATCACTTTTTTCCATTCCTTCCTTTTTTAAAACCAGTATTTCAAAGAATTATGTACGCTGTAGGCAAATATTTTTAAATATTCTGTGTTTAAACTTTGACCTACAACCATATGTAATTGAAGAACTGAACGTCTATAGAAGTTAAATTATTTGACCAAACACAGGACTCAAAATAGAATCCTAGTCGCCTGTTTCTCTGTCTAGTGT